AACTGAAGGGAAAAGTAGAAAGGGTCAAAACCATTGGGGAAGCTTGGAAACTGTTTAAAACTACAATTCTAGAAGCTCAAATAAAATATATTCCGCAGGTTAGGAAAGGCACAAACAGGTATAAGAAAAAGCCTACATGGTTAACAAACAAAGTAATGGAAGCTGTAAAAGGTAAAAAGGATTCCTTTAAGCGGTGGAAAGCTAGTCACAGTGAGGCTGATAAAACAGAACACAGGCTATGGCAAATAAAATGCAAGTCTGTGGTCAGGCATGCAAAAAGGGAATATGAGGAGCATATAGCAAAAAATGTAAAGACCAACAATAAAACTTTCTTCAAATACATTAGAAACAGGAAACCAGCCAGGGAGGCAGTGGGGCCCTTGGATGACCAAGGGGTAAAAGGAGTACTGAAGGATGATAGGGAAATGGCTGAGAAGCTAAATGCATTTTTTGCCTCCGTCTTCACTGTGGAAGATGAGAGGTGCTTGCCCACTCCAGAGCCGCTGAGTTCGGGAGGGGTGTTGAAAGACCTGAGTCAGATTGAGGTGACGAGAGAGGAGGTCCTAAAACTGATAAACAACTTAAAAACTGATAAATCACCAGGCCCAGATGGCATACATCCAAGAGTTCTGAAAGAACTCAATTGTGAACTTGTGGATCTCCTGACAAAAATATGTAATCTCTCCTTAAAATCAGCCTCCATTCCTGAGGACTGGAAGGTAGCTAATGTCACTCCCATCTTTAAAAAGGGTTCCAGAGGAGATCCGGGAAATTACAGGCCTGTCAGTCTGACGTCGATACCGGGTAAATTGGTGGAAACCATTATTAAGGAAAGAATTAGTAGGCACATAGATGAACAAAACCTATTGAGGCAGACTCAACATGGGTTCTGTAAGGGAAGATCTTGTCTCACTAACCTGTTAATGTTCTTTGAGGGGGTGAACAAACATGTGGACAAGGGGGATCCAATAGATATTGTTTACCTTGACTTCCAGAAAGCTTTTGATAAAGTTCCTCATCAAAGGCTCCTAAGCAAGCTCAAAAATCATGGGATAAAAGGACAAGTCCTTTTATGGATCAAAAACTGGCTAATTAATAGAAAACAGAGAGTGAGTATAAATGGGCAGTTCTCCCAGTGGAGGGGTGTAAGCAGTGGGGTACCACAGGGATCAGTACTTGGTCCACTGCTTTTTAACTTGTTCATTAATGATTTGGAGTTGGGAGTAAGCAGTGAAGTGGCTAAATTTGCGGATGATACGAAGTTGTTCAGGGTGGTGAAAACCAGTGAGGATTGTGAGGCACTCCAAAGGGATCTGTCAAAGTTGGGCGAGTGGGCGTCAACATGGCAAATGGGGTTCAATGTGGCCAAGTGCAAGGTGATGCACATAAAGTGCAGAAAAGGGCAACTCGAATGATAAAAGGGTTGGAACACTTTCCCTATGAGGAAAGGTTAGGGCTCTTTAGCTTGGAGAAATGACGACTGAGGGGTGACATGACTGAGGTTTATAAGATTATGCATGGGAAAGAGCAGGTAGAGAAAGAGGTACTTTTCTCCCTTTCTCACAATACAAGAACTTGTGGGCACTCCATGAAATTGCTGAGCGGTCGGGTTAGAACGGATAAAAGGAAGTACTTCTTCACCCAAAGAGTGATTAACACTTGGAATTCACTGCCACAGGAAGTGGTGGCGGCTACAAGCATGGACGGCTTCAAAAGGGAATTGGATAAGCATATGGAGCAGAGGTCCATCAGTGGCTATTAGCCACAAGGTATAGATAGGGACTCTGGGGCAAGTGATGCTCTGTCATCTTGGTGCTTGGGGGGGTCAACAGTGGGATGGCTTCTGGTGTCCTGGCCCCACTGGTGGACCTCCTGATGGCACTGGTATTTCTGGCCACTGTGTGATACAGACTGTTGGACTGGATGGGCCTTTGGCCTGATCCAACATTGGCATTTCTTATGTTCTAAAATTATTTGGCAGAGAATTCAACACTTTAATGATGGTCTGGGCCTGGCTGGGGCAATGGCACACGTGCCCACAGAGAGGGCTCTGAGTGCCACCTCAGGCACCCGTGCCATAGGTTCGCCACCACTGGGCTAGTGGCTGTGCCCAGATTTGTCTAGCTTTACACTCCCTTCAACAGAAGGAAGGTGAGATATGACTATTTTATTTCATGGGAATAAAAATGGAATTGCCTTCCATGGATCTCTTGCTACCTCATACTGCTTCTTAACTGATTAGTTTTCAGCAGATTATGAAAATATAGAAAAAGCTAGACCCCACTGGGATGCCTGCGAAAATCTCTCACAGATGCATAGAATCTCACAGCTCAAAGACTGATAGGCCTGCTGTTGTCTTCTAACAAAAGAGGTAATGTCTCCATATGATCTATACTTTGGAGCAAAGGAAGAATTAAAAGATTTCTAGGCTCAGAAGAATGATTGCATTCAAAGGTCATGTGATACAGAGTGTCTACACTACCTGCCTCATAGCCAGAGTAGGCAGTCTTGGGATGTGTCAACAGAGGCATAACATCCAAATAACAAGATGTCATAGTCCCGTTGTATACTGTATTGGTCAGGCTGCACCTGGAGTAATGTGTGGTGTTTTGGAGGCCTCACTTCAAAAAGGATGTGGATGGAATGGAGCAGGTGCAGAGGAGACCAGCGAGAATGATCGGGGGCCTGGAGACCGAGCCCTATGAGGAAAGGCTGAGGGGCTTGGGAATGTTCAATCTGGGGAAGAGGAGGTTGAGGGGGGACATGATGTTTCTCTTTAAGTGTTCGAAGGGCTGTCACTTAGAGGAGGGCAGAGAGCTCTTCCTGTTGGCCGCAGAGGATAGGACTTGAAATAATAGGTTTAAATTAAGGACGGGAAGGTACTGGCTGGATATTAGGAAAAACATTTTTACAGCAAGAGTTGTGCAACAGTGGAATCAGCTGCCTAGGGAGGTGGTGAGCTCCCCCTCACAGCCTTTAAGCAGCGGCTAGACAAAGAGAGAGAGAAAGAGAGAGAGATTGGATTTATACCCCGCCCTTCACTTGGAGTCTCAGAGCGGCTTACAACTCCTTTCCCTTCCCCTCCCCACAACAGACACCCTGTGAGGTGGGTGGGGCTGAGAGAGCTCTGACACAAACTGCTCTTTGAGGAACAGCTGCAAGTGGAGGAGTAGGGAATCAGACCCGGTTCTCCCAGATTAGAGCCTGCACACTTAACCACTACACCAAACTGGCTCTTGTCAGGGATGCTCTAGGCTCATCCTGTCTAGACGGGGTTGGACTAGATGGCCTGTATGGCCCCTTCCAACTCTGTGATTCTATGATTCTAGGGTGTGGTATCTTACAAGACCTGCCATGCAATACTCTAGATGGTAGGGCATTAGGGTACACCAACATCAAGGCCATTACGGACTAGAATAACGGAACACAGAAGTTGCATCAGACGTGGCAGGAAGAATGCACCCCTGACAGAGCATTTCATGATGGCAGGGCATAATGATAAGGATTTTTCCTTCTTTGCACTCGAGTATGTTCGGCCCAGAAGCCACCAGCAGATGATCCAACAACTGAAAAAAAGAGAACTATTTTGGATACATACTCTTAAGACTGCAACTCCATACGGCCTGAATGAGCATATTGACTGGTGTGCAATATAATCTTGATTATTATTATTATTATTTTGAACAATTTACTTTATGGTCCTCATTGAATCTATACTTTGTATATATTTCTGATTGTGTGTATGTGAAAATAATTATTAACCATCATGCCACATATGTATGACTTCTGAGGAAGGCCTATTTGGCTGAAACGCGTACGGTCAACTTTGTAAGCCCTTGATATTGTTATATTTTATATACATTGGTTGTAAATGGGCCTCTATATATGTTTTAAAATTTGTTATTATTATTAATAAATACATGTCCCTCTTTTTATCTTTTATGGAAAGGTTTTAATATTGGCCCTCCTTTTCACTAAACATTGCTTGGTTTTGGAGGGCATTAGGGCACACCAACATAAAGGCACGCCTATAGCGAGGAACTGTCAAATATGAGCGATAATTGGGGAGCGCTAGAGGTTGAAGAATGCCAACAAACTGAGTAGAACAAACACGTCATGCTCTACAAATTGTACTGTTATAATTGTACTTAAAGAGACATTTCTTAATCATTCTTATGGCTTCCCGTCTGGTAACTGAGTAAAGGGAATCCAAGGAAAGATTGAAGAACTGTAGTCGTTGCTTGACAAGTTTATCTCAGTGGGAAATATAAGAGTTCTCTCTGACTAAGCCTAGGTAACCCTCTTGGATGTCGCGGTGTATAATTTTAACTTTAAGGGAGAAAGCCTACAACCAGGCCCAGGCTTCAAGAGATGGTAGTCCCTAGTTCATATTAGAGGGCTACTCCCGCTGCACAATTCGGAATTCCTTTGGGCTTCTAAGAGGAGGGAATGTATTATTAACTGCATACGACTTCGTATTCCTTGCCTAACAGTTTCGATACAATATGCCAATAAAGGTTGATTGACTGAATTTGGAATTCCACGGATGGGACATAGGATTTAAGATTAATTTAATCGAAGGACTCCCCTATTTCATCAATCTAAATACCAGCTCCATATACTTTGCGTGGCCACCTTGACATTAAACAGTTTGATAGCGGCTGGGATATATGGAGTCCCAGAGGAATAAAAGAAACCACAGGTGATATTTGATGCTGCTGTAGCCAATCGTTGAACATGACCAGCTTGCACTGACCAAGCTAATCTCTGGTCACACCAGACCCTTAAGTATTTAAAATGGGTGACCTCCTCAATATCCTCCCATGAATCTGTCTAATCCCCTGCCAAGGGAGTGGCCACCACTACATCCTATGGCCCTGAGTCCCAGAAGTGTATTCTGTGTTGTGCACAGCAGTATTCCCTTTTTCTCTTGTCCTAAGTCTTCTGCCCAAGAACTTCACTGTGTGCCCCAATCCCATCTGGGCACAAGGCACCCTTACCACATGAGAGGGCATCTTGGGCACGCTCCTGGGCCTGCTCCCTTTGCCCTTCCTCCGAAGGAGATCCTTCCTCCTCAGAGAACTCTGCTTCCGTCTTCACTGCTGGTCCCCCCATCTGAAAGAGCAGGAAAGGAGATGGGGAAGAGAAGGAATGGAGCAGGCTGAGGAGAGGAATCCTGCCCCACTCCCAGACTCCTCACCCGTGCACTGACCAGCTGAGATGGTTCACCCACAGGGACAAGAACATAAGAGAAGCCAGTGTCGGATCAGGCCAATGGCCCATCCAGTCCAACACTCTGTCACACAGTGGCCAAAAACACCAGGTGCCATCAGGAGGTCCACCAGTGGGCCAGGACACTAGAAGCCCTCCCACTGTTGCCCTCACCCCCCCCCAGGACCCAAGAAGACAGAGCACCACTTGCCCCTGACTGAGAGTCCCTATCTATACCTTGTGGCTAATAGCCACTGATGGACTTCTGCTCCATATGTTTATCAGGGATGGGTTTTCTTCCCAGGCGAGAGAATTATCTATAGGCAGAAATATCAGGCAGGGAAGCCTTGGGATAAGGTTGTCCCTTGAACTGAATGAATGAAATCCCCTCACCTGCTCTGCCTGCCTCTTCTCCTCTGCCTGATTCAGGAGGAAACCTTCGGCCAGGGCCACTGCCTGGGAACTTGTCTCCGGCCTGCATCCTCTGACCCAGCGCTGCATTTCCGGGGGCAGGATGGCCAGGAACTGCTCCAGGATCACCAGGTCTAGGATCTGCTTCTTGGTGCGCCTCTCTGGCTCCAGCCAGTGGTTGCAAAATACATGCAACCGGCTGCAAACCTTTTGGGGCCCATCCATCTCCTGGTAACGGAACTGCCTGAACCACTGGCTGTGTAGATCTGCGGTCTTCGTGTCCTGAGCCATGATCTCTGGCACAGCTCTTTCCCAGAATTCAATGCCACTCTTTGCTTGGATGGGATAGGGGCCTCTCCTTGATCTCTTGCCGATTCCAGGTCCTTCTCTTCCATCTCCTTTCCCATCTCTTGGGTCACCTCCGACTGTGGAAAGATACATTTACTCAGTTGGCTATGAAGAGGGAGAGGAAAATATATCAAAAAGGCAGAAAGAAAGCAAAAGGGAATGGATCTACATCACCAACCCCGGTCAAGAGACATTCAGGAATTGGTCTGGTGGATCAGAAGGAGAGCCCTTGTTGTAGTTTTCACATCAGCAACTCAATAGACCAGAAGCATTAGGCAAAAGCTCCGCCCAAGCAGCCAGCAGAGGGGAAGGGCCGGGGGGGGGGGTGTCACCTCCCCAGGTCAGGGCTCAGGAGGGATGAACAGGAGCAGGGGGAGGCGCTGAATCTGCAGATGCCGGTTGAGCGGGGCAGGCAATTGTCGTGAACGATTCCTCCCATAGGAATACGCCTGGGACTCCTTCCGGGCCTTCCTACAAACTCCATGGATCAGAATTTACTGATATAAATATAATTTATATAAATTTATAAATTTATTTACAGAACTCAGATCCAGTCTCTCTGCCCCCACAAGGGGCGGCTAACAAATTACAGCCTACGTAAGAACATTACATTTTCAAACTATTCAAAACCCAGCCCCACCCCTCGATAATGCACAGAGCAGCATTTCTCCCATTCAAGACTGAAAAGCTTATACCCCCCCCCCCCACCGCTGTCAACTTACTTGTGTCACAGGGCTCTTTTTGTAGAAAAAGCCCAGCAGGAACTCATTAGCATAATAGGCCACACCCAACAACAGAAACTCATTAGCATATTGGGCCACACCCCTGACAACACAGCTCATTAGCCCATTAGGCCGCGCCCCCACGTTACCAGAAGTGTGGTAATCCAGGCACACTCACCTTTTGCTTGTTCTTCTGTTTACCTTGTTTGTTGTCAAATCCCAGGGCCTTTTTTGTAGCAGGAACTCCTTTGCATGTTAGGCCACACACCCCTAATGTAGCCAATCCTAATGAGTTCCTGCTGTTGGGTGTGGCCTGTTATGCTAATGAGGTTCCTGCTGGGCGTGGCCAACTTGGGAGCCAGCCGGAACTCTGTTCCTGTGCGTTCCTGCCCCAAAATAGCCCTGCTTGTGCATAAATCTTTGCAGGATCCGGCCGCAAGGCTTTTTCCTGCTGTTACATATCTGAAGCCTTTCCTGGTCTCTTTGGCAATTCAATAGCAAAGCCCGCCTCCCAACACATACTGGAAAAGAGCCTTTCCTGTTTTCCAACCCCCCCCTTTCTTGGCCTCTCTAGCAAACAGCTCTGTCAGTTTAACCCTTTCAGAGCTGCAGACAAATGAAAAATGTTTCCTGCCACCCCATAAAGAGCAGCGCCTAAACCCTGATGGATTAGATTTCAGCTAGGCTGCAATCGGCCTGTGCAGCTCGGCAGGATTGTTCTGGAGTAACTCCGCACACAGTTATTCTCCTGGGGAATCCCAGACTGTTCAGCCATCTCAGAGAATGGCACGTTTGAGCAGAAAAGAAGAAAATTAGGGCAAACGAAAGCAAACCCACAGCCAGCAATCCGAAGCAGGTCTAAACGGAACCTTCCCCAGGCCCATTCAATTTGGCTTACTCCCAAGAAAGCGGTTTTAGGATTGCACTGAAAATGTGTGTTCCTAACAACATCTTCCCTATTAAGGCCCCGGTCACACAGAGCATTTGCTGTGCTAAAGGCACGATGGTCCCGCGGGTTTTCCGGGCGCGATCACACCGGAACATCTGGGAGGCGTAGCACACCCGTGGCGAACCGCCAAAGATGCGTATTTAAAAAGTGCCTGGGACGACCTACTGGCAAATGGTTTGCCACGGGCTGCATGCGGACTCCCTGGGAGTGATTGCGCCGGCGCGCGACTTTCTCCCCATCATCGTCTTCTCTGCGAGGAAGCCGCCATTGCGTCTGATCGCATAATGGCGGATCAGAATCCAACGGTGCAAATAGCCGCCCTTCCCCCCTGCGTTTTCCGGCACGTCTGACTGGGGCCTTAGTGGCACAGAGGCTGAGGCCTTCATAAGAACATCAGAAGAGCCCTGCTGGACCAGACCAATGGTCCATCTGGTCCAGCATCCTGTCTCACATAGCGGCCAGCCAGTTCCTCTAGACTGCCAGCAACAGGGCACAGAGGCTGAGGCCTTCCCCTGAGGTCGCCTCCTGGCTCTGGGATTCAGAGGATTAGTGCCTCTGAGTGTGGAGGTCCCCCTCAGTCACCACGGCTAGCAGCCATTAATAGACCTATTCTCCAGGAATCTATCTAATCCCCTTTTAAAACTGTTTATTCTTGTAGCCATCACTCCATCCTCTGGAAGCGAATTCCACAGTTTCATCACTCTCTGTGTGAAGCAGGATTTCCTTATGTCCATCCTGAACCTACTTCCCATCAGCTTCATTGGATGCTGCTGAGTTCTAGTCTTTTGGGAGAGGGAGAAAAAAATTCTCTTTCTCAGCTCTCTCTACCCCATTTCATAAACCTCCGTCATGGAGATCAGCTGTAACAGCAGGAGATCTGCAGCCACCCCCTGGAGGTTGTCAACCCCATGTTCAGCCAGGACCGCACATCTGTCCCACTGGGCTTGATTTCCAGCCAACTGCATGGCCTTTATGCTAGGGACACACTTATGCAAGCAAGCCAAATAGGGTAAGAAATGGTGCTTCTTGGTTATTCCTGTTAAATCCCACATTTTCAGAGCCCCCCCCCCCACCAGCTATTTCAGGCTCAAAAAGCTTCTTTTCATTCCTCAGTAGAGGTTTTTTTGGCAAATTTGTAAAAGTATGACGTTAAAGAAAGTTATCAGGACAAACATATCTTCTGCCAGTAGATGGCACTGCGGGATTGTTTTCAAACAACCAGGCTGCCTAAAGGGTGACTTCCCACTGGTCAAAGGGGTTCTTTTTTTGGTAAACAAATTTTTATTTTCTCAGGAATACAACATATAAAACATTTCATTCTATCAATTGTCTACCCCATTCCCAGTTCCTCCCCTCCCTCCAATGGCTTCCCACAATGCTTCCACCCCTGCTCCAAATTACTTCATATCATCAACAATATCAGTTTTTCATCATTACAATCTAAAGATAACATCGTTTGACTTAATATTGATCTAAACATATTAAGTTTTGTTTCACATCCCAGTTCTTTTCCAGATAAATTTTAAAATCATTCCATTCTCCAAAAAACTCATCGTCTTCTTTGTTATTCAGTTTTTTTGTAATCTTATCCATTTGTGCCATGAACAGAACTTTTTGTATCCATTCTTCAACCTCTGGTACCTTTTCTGTCTTCCAAAACTGAGCATAAATCATTCTCGCTGTCACTATCAGGTACCAGAGTAAAGTTTTTTTAGTCGTATTGACTTCTTCCATTTTGAGTCCCAAAAGCAGAATTTCCGGTGCTTTTTTAAAAGAACATTTCAGTATTTTTTGCATTTCATTGTGGACTTTTGTCCAAAAGTCTACAGCTTTCTCACAAGTCCACCACATATGATAAAATGAGCCCTCATGCCTCTTACATTTCCAGCATTTGTTTGACATATTTTGATTCATATTTGCAATCTTCTTAGGTGTCATGTACCACCTATACATCATCTTATAACAATTTTCTTTAACATTAGTACATGTCGAGATCTTAATAGAATTTTTCCACAAATATTCCCAGGTTTCCATAGCCACTTCCTTATTCATATTAATAGCCCATTTTAACATTTGTTCTTTAACAGTTTCATCTTCAGTATACCATTTTAACAACACCTTATACATTTTAGAAATATTTTTTCCTCCTCCACTCTCCCATACCTTTTCAATTTCATTTTTTTCCTCTCTAAAACCATAGTTTTTTTTGTCAGATCTAAAAAGATCATAAATCTGCATATATTTCAACCACTCATATTCATATTCAATTTCATTCTGCTTTTTCATTACCCACTCTGTTCCCTCTTTTTTAATTAAATCTCTATATGGCAACCAGTCTCTACCTCGCTGTCTTGAGTAAGATATCAACACTTCTACTGGTACAATCCACAATGGTCTTAAGTCACTCTGGTACTTCTTATATCTTGTCCATACCATATACAAAGCTTTTCTCACCAAGTGAAGTTTAAAAAAACTGTCCATTTTTATCTTGTCATACCATAAATATGCATGCCAGCCAAATCTACAATCATGCCCTTCCAACCCCAACAATCTGTCATTTTCAAGCTTCACCCATTGATCCATCCATGTTAGACAAACCGCTTCATAATATAGTCTAAGATTTGGCATTTGTAGACCTCCTCTTTCTTTGGCATCACAAAGTATTTTCATTTTGATCCTTGGTTTCTTGCCTGCCCAAACAAATTTTGACAACTCTTGTTGCCACTTGGCCAACAAATCCGTTTTATGCAGAATTGGTATTGTTTGGAACAGGAACATCAAACGTGGTAGGACATTCATTTTTATAACTGATATTCTTCCCATCAGTGATAAGTTCATTTTATCCCATTTCTTAAAATCTTGAGTCAGCTTAGTCCATAATTTCTCATAATTATTCTTATATAGGTCTATATTTTTTGCCGTTAATTCAATTCCAAGGTATTTTGTTTTTTTAACTACTTCACATTGTACCAGTTCTTGTAGTTCCACTTGTTTTTGTTTGATCATGTTTTTACATATAAGTTTTGTTTTATTCTTATTTACGTAAAAGCCGGCCAATTCTCCAAACTCCTTTATTTTTTGAAAAAGCAATGTCAATTTTTCTGTTGGGTTTTCCACCATAAACATTACATCGTCTGCAAATGCTCGATATTTGTATTGGTGTCCTTTATGTGTCAAGCCCTTTATTTCTTGATCGTACTGTATTTTTTGTAAAAGTATTTCCAATACCCAGATAAATAATAACGGTGATAACGGACAACCTTGCCTTGTTCCTTTCTGTACTTTGAAGTTATCTGTCAGTTCTTTATTCACATTTATTTTAGCTCTTTGTTCAGAATAGATAGCTTCAATACAATTTCTAAAATGTTGTCCCGCTTCAATCTTTTCCATCATCTGGTGCATAAAATTCCAATTAAGATTGTCAAAAGCTTTTTCTGCATCAACAAACAGAAAAGCTACTTCTTTTTCTGGGTGCTTTTCATAATATTCAATTGCGTCCATTACTATTCTTACATTGTCTCTAATCTGCCTTTTGGGTAAAAAGCCCGCTTGATCTTCAGAAATTACCGTTTGTAAATAGTTTTTCACCCTTTCTGCAATAATTTTTGCAAAGATTTTATAATCGTTGTTCAAAAGAGATATTGGCCTGTAGTTCTTTACATTTGTTGAATCTTGTCCTTCCTTTGGAATCAAAGAAATAATTGCTTCTTTCCATGAGTCCGGCACCTTTTTGTTTTCTCTTATTTCGTTGGTTAAAGCTTCCAGGACCGGGGAAATTTCTTCTTTCATCTTTTTGTAGAATTTCGCTGTAAATCCGTCCGGCCCAGGCGCCTTCCCCAACTTTGTCTCTTCTATTGCCTTCATCACTTCTTCTTTTTGAATTGGACCATTTAATAAATCTTTGTATTCCTTACTTATTTTTGGTAGTGGAATCTCCTTTAAATATGTTTTAATCTTCTCAAGATCAACTCTAGTTGTTTGGAATAGTTTAGCATAATACTTGAAGAAACATCTCTTTATTCCATTAGGATCAACGAACTCTTTTCCATCTTCTATTATTTTGGTTATCATTCTTCTCTCTCTTCTAGCCTTAAGTTGCCAAGCTAAGTATTTTCCCGGTTTGTTCGCCCCTTCAAAAGATTTCTGTTGTAACTTCTTTAAATTCCAATACATTTCCTGATTCCAAGTCTCATTCAGTTGTTCCTTCAGCAACTTTAATTCTTTAATAATTTGCTTTTTTCCAGGCTTCTTTTTTAATTCCTTTTCTTTCTGAGCAATTTTTTCTAACACTTCTGTTTGTTTTTGAAGTTTTTCCTTTTTTTGCTTCACGTTTTGCGAGATGAGAATTCCTCTCATCACCGCTTTATAAGCATCCCATACAATCTGTATCGGTGTTTCTTTATTTAAATTTTGTTGAAAGAATTGTTTCGTTTCTTCCTTTAACATCTCAATTACCGTTTTCTTATCCAACAAGTCTTCATTAATCCTCCACAGAAAGGGTTTTTTCCTTTCTGTGGAACTCCATACCACCGGATTGTGATCTGAATTACATCTTGGCAAAATTTCAGTCTTATGTGTTTTCATTGATAATTCTTCAGACATCCAAATCATATCAATTCTGGAAAAAGAGCAATGTCTATTGGAATAAAAAGTAAAGTCTTTCTGCATCGGGTTCCATTTCCTCCAAACATCTTCTAATTTTTCTTGCTTAACTAATTCAAAAAAATTCTTTGGCAATTTTCCGCTGAATTCGTTGTCCTTTTGTGGTTTTCTGTCTAGACGATCTATTGTCCCATTAAAGTCTCCGGCCATAATAACTTGCTCATAAGTCAATTGTTGTAATTGGTCAGTTATATCCTTAAAAAATTTTTCCTTTGCTCCATTGGGTGCGTACACGTTGATCAACAATGTTTTTTTCTGCTGAATCATTAATTCCACACCCACGTATCTGCCATCTATGTCCTTAAAAATTTCTGTAGGTTGTAACTCCTTCTTCACATATGTCACAACTCCTTTTTTCTTGTTTGAGGCCGCAGAACAAAATTCAATTCCAAATAAAGCATTCTTTAAATATTTTATATCCTGTTTTCTAATATGTGTTTCTTGCAAGCATATCACGTTGCATTTCTGTTTCTGTATCCAATGATTGATTCTTTTCCTCTTGTTTGGTGAATTTAATCCATTAACATTCCATGACAACAATTTGTACTCCATTATGCGTTTTATTTTAAAGTTCTCCAAAGACGTCCGCATTGTCCGCCTTAAATTTATAAAAGTCCATCATCGATCTGATCTGAATCCTCCCACCTTGATACGTAAAGGATAAACCTTGTGGAATCTCCCATCTATATCTGATGCTCAAAGCTCTGAGTTTGTCCGCCAAGGATTTATACCTTTTCCTGTCTTGCAGTATTGTTCTTGGGAGTTCTCTCATCACCATAATTTTGTTTCCCTCTATTACAAAAGGGACGTTGAATTGCTTCTTGAATATCTCCTCTGTTATTGATCTTGTTACAAATTGTACAATTACATCCCTTGGTAAATTCTTCTTTTCTGCAATTCTGGAGTTCACTCTATAAATCAAATCAAAGTCTGAGTCCATTGACCCTTCCTCCTCGCCCAGAAAAGCCGTTATCACTTCCATCATTTTTTCTTTTAAGTTCTCATTCTCTGTTTCCTTAATGCCTCTGAATCTCAGATGAGTCTGCATCCTTCTGAACTCCATCATTGTCTCTGATCTTGTAATTTGTTGAGTCAAAGAATCTTGTTTCTCTTCTATTTTTTGTATCTTCTCCTCTGTCTCTGTAGTCTTGGTTGCATTTGCTTGAACATCCTTCTTAACTCCTTCCATTTCTTGCTTGATTGAAGTTATTTCTGTAGTAACCAATTCCTTCAATGCTGTTATGTTCTTCTCTTGGACTTCTTCTAGATGTTTCAGATGAATCTGAGTTTGCTTCTCCAGTTGGTCCCCCAATGTTTTTTCTATCTGCTCCCCCATGGCTTGTATTGCCTCTGTCATTCTCTTCTCCATTGCTTCCATGGAGGCTTGCATCTCTTTTTTCTCTCTTTACCTTGACATTTTGGGGGTTGAAGTAGATCCAATCCTAGGTCTCACAACCGGTTTAAGTTCTGGGTCTGAGTCGGCTCTTTTCTTGCCTCTCCTGGTCTCCGTCTTGGCGATTTCTTTCCAATTCACAGATTCGCAAAATAAAGCACTCTTCTAGATGATAAGATTTAGTCCTCCATGCCTCTCTGTTTACGCTTTCCAAAGACCCTTAGAAATATATTAAAAAAGCAAATTTAGTTGAAGTCCTCCTCAAAATGTCGGGCGCAACTTCTCTATGGTAATTTCATGTAGAGTAGGTCAGATTGGTATTTTGCAGGCCCTTCCTTCCGCATAAAACTCACTTCCGGTCCGGCACCTTTAAAAGTTCCACTGTCTTCCTTTCGCTAATGCCCGTCTAGGAATTCAACTTCCTGGATGTTTCACACGGACCTCTTTCTTTGTGACACCAGCCTGCTCTTCCCACGCTATTGTTCGTGAGTTTCGATTTTACAGTTGCGCACACGGCTCCATCTTCACCACAGGAATGTTAAACAATAAGCGTTTTTACAGTTTTTAAAGGCTTCAATCAACTTTTTTCTCTCCGGAATCGGATTTCTGGGATTTACTATTCATTTTCCGCTCAACCGCTTAATTCAAATTGACTCCAAACTCAGTTCAGGTAAGCGGCACGTTTTTGTTATCTAGCACGTTCAAAACGGGTTTCGCATTGTTTCTTTTAACTCACAGTTGTTGTCCTTCTTCAAAGAGGTCGGCTGACGAAGAATTTATGCCGGTAATCCGGCTCGATCGGCCACTATAGAGTTGCTTGGCACTTGCCTTCTTCGTGGGAGGAGGTCAAAGCCCAATTCAGCTTCTTCCGAAGCTGGATTACGCCAACCTCACACTCCCTCTAGGGCGCTGCTGCCTGCTTGTCCCCCCCCCTCGCTGGGGAGTGATGCGTTGGGCTGTGTATTGCCCAAACTGTCAAAAGTGTCCGTCGCTCGCTTCGCACGATCGCGAAACGCTTCAGTCCTCCATCTTAGCCAGACCGGAAGCCCCTGGTCAAAGGGGTTCTTGACAGCTTCTGCAAAGATCATCCGCATGACCTCATCCCCAAATTCGGCACCTTTTGTCCCTTTTGGCACAGCATATTTTCTCAGTGTGTGGGCAAGAAGATGCACAGTTTTACAGGCCCCGCTGACATTGGGACCCCGTTCCTTGCCCCAGCCCCCCCTATCTGTCCTTCTCTGTACTGAAGCTTTTTAAAAATATCACTCATTGAAACAGTGCTATGACTTTAGTAGCTGACATATCAACTAAACATATTTCTGTAACAGAGCAAAGTTTGGCTCTAGTGGCACCTTTAAGATCAACAAATTTAATTCTGGGTGTAATCTTTCACGGGCATCACAGCTGTGTGAAAACCGAGGTGTGACTTTAGCGCATCTGAAAACTGTAGGGGAATACCAATGGGTTTCCAGAGTGCCTAAGTCCAGGTTTTCCGCTGGATGAGACAGCAATGTGACAAGTCCATCCCATGATCCAGCACCAAAGCTTGCTGGGGTTACAAACCATAGCCTGACAGCAGCACATGTGCAAGGGATCTAGGTGTTCCGGTTGATCACAAGCTAAACATGAGCCTGCAGTGCGATGTGACTGTGAAGAAAGCTAATGCAGTCTTAGGATGCATTAACAGAAGCATTGTGTCCAGATCACGGGAGGTGGTAGTTCCGCTCTATTCTGCTGTGGTCAGGCCTCACCTGGAGTACCGTGTCCAGTTTTGGGCACCACATTTTAGGAAGGATGTTGACAAGCTCGAACGTGTCCAGAAGAGGGCAACCAGGATGGTGAGAGGGTTGGAATCCAAGCCTTGTGAGGAAAGGCTGAAAGAGTTGGGTATGTTTAGCCTGGGAAAGAGAAGGCTTAGAGGGGACATGATTGCAGTCTTCAAGTATTTGAAGGGCTATCATGTAGAAGATGGAGCAGATCTATTCTCTCTTGCTCCGGATTGCAAGACTAGATCTAATGGGTGGAAATTACAAGGGAGTCGTTACTGGCTAAATATCAGGAGAAACTTCCTAACTGTAAGAGTGGTTGAGCAGGGGAACAGTCTGCCTCGGGAGGTGGTGGATGCTTCTTCGCTGGACATTTTCAAGCAGAGGCTGGCCAACCATCTTTCGGGTATGTTGTAGGTATGTAGGGCTATCTTTCGGCTATGCTCCTGCAGAGGGCAGGGGGTTGGACTAGATGACCTCCAAGGTCCCTTCCAACTCTAACATTCTATGATTCTATGATTCTATCCCCAGTTCAGCAGACTGTTTCCCGCCGTGGCCCACCAGATGCCCATGGGAAGCCTCTAGGCAGGGGCACAGAAGCCAGGTTACTGGCCCCTCGTGAAAACTTTTCCGAGGTGTGCGGCCTCAGAATGCGAAGGTTCCACGTTCGCCATGGCTAATCGCTGCACCCAGATCTGTCTGCCTTTCCTTTCTTGAGCCACCTGGAGCCCCTCCAACAGAAAGAAGGTGAGACATGAACATTTTAATTCAAGCAAATACAAACGCAACTCCCTCCCAGAAGTCTTGTCTAATCCCCCCTTAAAGTGAATGGCTATCAGCACATCCCATGTTACTGGGTCCCACAAGTTAGCTCTGCGTTGGTTACATAACTATTTCCTTTATCTACCCAAGGACTTCGTGACGTGCCCCAACCCCATCTGGCCACAAGGCAGAGCCTTACCACACTTTGGGGCCTGGGCCCTCTGCCCTTCCTCAGACGGAGCTCCTTCTGCCCCGGAGAATTTAATTTCCATCTTCATTGCTGGTCCTTGCATCTGAAAGAGCAGGAAAGGCGATAAGTAAGAGAAGGAATGGAACAGGCCGAGGACAAGGATCCTTCCCCACTCCCAGACTGCTCAGCCCTGCATCCACTGGCTTAGCTGGTTCAACCACAGGGGCAAGGAATCAGGACTGGGTTTCCTTCCCAGTCGAGTGAATGTAGAGACAGAATCTGGCAGGGAAGCCTTAGCATAAGGTCATTGCTTGAACTGAGTGAATGAAACCCCCTCACCTGCTCTGCCTGCCGCTTCTCCTCTGACTGACTCAGGAGGAAACGTTCGGCCAGGGCCACCGCCTGGGAACTGGTCTCCGGCCCGCATCCTCTGACCCAGCACTGCATTTCCTGGGGCAGGATGGCCAGGAACTGCTCCAGGATCACCAGGTCCAGGATCTGCTTCTTGGTGCGCCTCTCCGGTTCCAGCCAGTGGTTGCAAAGTCCATGTAGCTGGCTGCAAACCTCTCGGGGCCCATCGGACTCATGGTAGCAGAACTGCCGGAAGCATCGGCTGCGTGCATCTGTGGTCATACTGTCCTGAACCAAGATCTCTGGCACAGCTCTTTCCCAGAATTCAGCACCATTTCCTGCTTGGATGCAATGGGGACCTTTCCTCGATCTCTTGGCAATTCCGGGTCCTTCCGGGTCCTTCTCTTCCATCTCCTTCCCTTTGGGTTACCTCCGACTGTGGAGAGATACCCTTACTCACGTGGCTATGAAGAGAGAGGAAAATATATCAAAAAGGCAGAAGGAAACCAAAAGGAAATGGAGCTACCTACGTCACTGACCCTGGTCAAAAGGCACCTGCAGGCTGCGGTCACACATACCATTTGAAGCGGAGGGGAAGGAAGGCTATTTCCTCTGGAGGAATTTGACATGCAGTTGCGAGATCACACAGACCTTTGAAGCTGCCCGGGCTTAGCCTGTCATTGTGTGATCAGACGCAACTGTGGGTGAGTCTTTTTTTTTTTTTTGCCATTTGTTTTCCTTGCGCATAACGGAGGAATCGCAGCTCTGCACCGAGGGCCCCCAATGGAGTATGCGATAATGCGCATACTGAGAAGGAGGGGGGAAACACAGCACGGAGTCGGGATGGCCTGATGTCAGGCAGAAGAGCATGCTTGAGTGATCAGACAGGGAACAGTCCGCCCGTGGCCTGCCTTGTCCAGATAACACCGGACTTTCCCCAGTGTCTTCTAACGCAGCTTCTGTGGTGGAGCAGCACAGGTTGCCGATGACTGTGGGACGCTTCCCAGATGTTGCTGTCTGATCCACTCCCTTTAGATCCGTCAGGCATTCCCACCCAGGGCTATTTTGGGGCGGGAACACACAGGAACGGCGTTCCGGCTGGCTCCTGAGTTGGCCACGCCCAGCAGGAACTCATTGACATAACAGGCCACACCCAACAGCAGAAACTCATTAGGATTGGCTACATTAGGGGTGTGTGGCCTAACATGAAAAGGGGTTCCTGCTACAAAAAAAAGCCCTGGGTTTTGACAACAAACAAGGTGAACAGAATAAGAAGCAAAAGGTGGGTGTGGCTGGATGACCACACTTCTGGTAACATGGGGGTGTGGCCTAATACGCTAATGAGTGGTGCTGTCAGGAGTGTGGCCCAATATGTTAATGCGTTTCTGCTATTGGGTGTGGCCTATTATGCTAATGAGTTCCTGCTGGGCTTTTTCTACAAAAAAAGCCCTGTTCCCACCTATGTCGGATCTCAAGGAGGGTGCGATCACAGCCAAAGGTGGCGTTTAGTTTGTGGATCTGGATTAAAGGGAGTGGTGGTGCAGGCAGTTAAATGCCTGCTTCAGTAACATCATACGAGCAGCCCTATGGCGGTTCGAGTACCACCGCGGTCGAGGTGAGCTCTCGACCCTTGTCCCAGCTCCCGCCCACCCAGCGGTTCGAAAGCAACTTAATTGCAAGTAGATAAATGGGTACCCACCCTTAGTAGGGTGGGGGGCACCCTGCCTGTGTGGTGGTTGAAGACAGATGGTGACGGCGATGGTGGCGGCGGCAGCGAGACATCAGCTCTGGCTTGGATGGCGTGGAGGTGGCGGCGGCGGCGGCGAGCGGGCACAACCAGAGGAGCGATCCCTGGTGGCTAGAGGACGGAACATCGAGTAACCGCCATCGGGAGAGGGCCGCGATGACGCCAAGCGCCGGTACAGCGAAGCCGGAAAAGGACGCAGCTGAAACCGGAAGGAGGCGGGAAGTCGCGCGCCTCGAGAGAGGGAGGTTGCTGCCAGGCGCCGAGGAGAGCGTCCCGCCTGAGAAACCGCCTGAGCCAACAGGAAGAAGAGGAGAACACCACCAACTACCAACCACCACCATAGGGGTGCCGGTAGGTCTCCCCACCCCATACAAATATGTGGCCTTAGTCAGGGAAGTAAAATGGTGACTAGCACCGAATTGTAAGCCGCTCAGAGACCCCCCTGACAAGGGGGTTCGAGCGGGATATAAAGTTGAATGTTAAATAATGTCATTGTGTGATATTACATATCAAGCTCCTTCAGATAGACGTGTTTGCTTCTTCAGGAAAGTAAACCATCTCTTTTTTGCTCTTTAAAAACCTATTGCCGATTCCCGGGGATCAGGCTGTCCTCGGGGCTACTCTCAATATAAACAATAAAATTACTGGTAAGGGCTTAACCATTGCAGATACCTCCTCCATAGGCTGGATGCCTTTGGCAATAGCTCAATCCAAGTACTTGGTGAGTGGGGAAGGGGCGGAGGAGCATGAAGCCCCTCCAGGTCAGGGCAGAGGGGCTGCCTGGATGAACAGGGGGAGGCAACGAACCCCCAAGGAAAACGGCAAATGGGACAGGAAGCACTGCCCCAAATGCTTTGCATGCAGAGCAGCCAATGAGCTTGTATGATTCATCCCATGTGATCATGCCTGAGAGTCCTTTCCGGGCCTCCCTACGACCCCCCACGGCTGAGAATTTATTTTCAGTTATTTTAATTTACAAAATCCAGATCCTGCCTTTCTTCCCCCACAAGGACCACCAAGGCGGCTAACAAATCCAAACATTTATGTATGTATTACTTCTGTATTTATGTTATTAAGGTCCACCTTTCTCACTTGGGACTCAAGGGGCGTTCACGCAGAGTGACTCAACACAGTCAATAGGACGGTACATTCAATAAAACTATGGCTGCAGTCACACACACTAAATAATCCACTTTCAATCCACTTTCAATGTACTTTCCAACTGGATTTCTACAGTATGAACTAGCAAAATCCAATTCAAAAGTGCACTGAAAGTGGATTATTTCGTATGTATGGGTTGCAGAACCAATCAGAAATCTGAAACACAGTACGGAGGGAAAGTATAAATCTTAACACAAACCACCACATGATGGAAAATTACATAGTAGGATACAATTTAAAGGTAAAGGTAAAGGTTCCCTTGCTCAAAAGCCAGTCGAATCCGACTCTAGGGTTGCGGTGCTCATCTCCATTTCAAAGCCGAAGAGCCAGCGCTGTCCGAAGACGTTTCCGTGGTCATGTGGCCGGCATGACTAAACACCAAGGCGCACGGAACACTGTTACCTTCCCACCGAAGTGGTACCTATTTATCTACTTGCAATTTCTTGCTTTCGAACTGCTTGGTTGGCAGGAGCTGGAACTAGAGACGGGAGCTCACTCCGTCATGCGGCACACTCGGGTCTCGAACTGCTGAACTACTGACCTTCCACAGCCTGCAGTTCAGCGTCTTAGCCACTTGAGCCACCGCAGCTCTTAGGATACAATTTACAGCAGTACAAAAATTACATAATAGGGTTCTATACACATTAGTACCCTGATCTGGATTGCCCAGGCTGGCCAGATCTCCTCAGATCTTGGAAACTAAGAAGGGTCAGCCCTGGCTAGTATTTCGATGGGAGACCGCCAAGGAATACCAAGGTTGTTTCGCAGAGGCAGACGACGGCCAACCACCTCTGAACGCCTCTTGCCTTGAAAACCCGACGGGGTCTCCATAACTCAGCCGTGACTCGACAGCGACAACATCAAATACACATTAATATAGACCACGGTCCCTAAGAATGTCTCCAAGTGACTTTGTGAATCATTTTGGCCAGTGCTACCCTACTGCAGAAAGGCTGGAGCCTTCCTGACCTCTTCAGGCAGGCTATTCTACAAAGTGGGGGTCTCAAAGGAGAACACATACGGACGGGCAGTTGTTGATTCTGCCCATGTGCTGGGTGGAGAGTAATATGCATGCTCCATCTAGCTGTTGATAAGGGTCAAACTGCGGCATTCTGCCCCAACTGGAGTTTCCAAATTGATTTTGAGGGGAGACCCATGTACAGTGCATTACAGTAGTCTAGTCTCGATATCACCACGAGATGCATCCGGGTAGCTAGGTCAGAAGCAACGCTCCCTCTAAGCTGTGGAGTCCTGTGAGCAAAAATCCTACTTTGTGAGCGACTGGCATTAAAGTGGTGAGCGAGCGATTTGGCTACTGCATAAATTAGTTTGCTCTGGAGACATCCTTCATGAGCGAACACAAAAAGGTGTGAGCCGGAGGCTAAAAAACTGTGAGCTAGCTCACACTAACTCAGCTTAGAGGGAACTCTGTCAGAAGGTAAGGCTAGGCTAAGTTGGAAGGA